GTTTTCCCGAGGCCCTCGAAATCTGGCCTACTTGGTTTTCATAACGATATTGCCCTGCCCGGGCGAATAAGGTTGAATCCAACTAGGTTGCGAAACTCCCAAAGAAGCCCCCAACTAGGTACAGAAACGTTTAGCATGACCTAGTTGATTACACGTGCAACAAATAAGTGGTTTCCGAATACGTGACTGGTTCAAAGTCTAAACTAGTGAGGATCCCAGTGACTGCTCCCCTATTGAGCACTCGTTCACTCCAAGTCCTAGCCGGGTAGATGATCCCGGTGGTGCAACTACTGGTTGAACTAGCAACCCTGCCCTCTTCCTCCGTGGGCAAGCTGGAGACTTGTGGCCTAGTTGACCACATTTGAAACAAGTGAAACCCCTCTTCTTACCCTTCCCCAAAGCCAAACTTGGCACTGGAAAGGTAGATCCAAACTGCACTTCCTGTGATTGTTGTGGGTTGAAACCCCTTTGCCTCTTAAAAGGTCTACCGACATCCCGAGTTACAGGGGTCACCAAAATGGCCTCCTCCCTACTCCGTCCCATGACTAATACTGCTGCCTTTACATGAGCCGCTGTTTCAACAAGCACACTATAACTTCTATGCCAAGACCCGACAATCCTTTCTCAGATGTTGTCACACAACCTACTTTTAAACTCCGAACAACGAAGTTCCTCAGTCTCCAACAACTCTGGAGAAAATCTCGACAGGTTAGTAAACTATGCTTCAAATTGTACCAAAGGTGTAGTACCTTAGTGTGGCTCCACAAATTATTTTCGCAATTCTTCCCGTGTGGAAGAAGGGAAATTGTCACTTCCTCATCTAGGCATCCTAATAAGGGTAACCCAAAGATTAGCATAGTCACAAATGTGCCGAAGCCAATTTACTTAAGTCCTAGTACAATGTACAACATTTAATCCACTCCACGTAAGCACCTAGTCGCATAAACACATACGAATTTCCTTCCTGGATAATGATTGTCCCGTGACGTTGCCAGAGTTCTAATTAGAAACAGTAGTGATCAAGTACTCTTCTAATAGAACTTCTAGAAACCCATAGATCCAATCAATATCTTAGCAATGAAATCTCATACCCACATAGTCATATAAGCATGTTATCACGTAAGCATGCTATACATACTAACATCTCTACTAAGCGAGACAAACCCATTGTAGTAATAACCACTTCCCATGTACCCAAGTATTCAATACGCTTTGATACCAAGTTGTCACACCCCCAAAATAATACAAATAATCCATTCCATAAGATCTATGAACATAATAGAAATGAGATACTTCATTCATCAGAATTTATATTACAACTACATGCATTATACATTGATATATATTCATTCTGAATCTACAACATATAACATTTGTTAATAACAACAAAATAAATGCCCTACGGGCTTACATCTTTCCAAGACATAACTTGGTTATAACAGATGAGAGTCGTAAGCTCCATATATATAAAGCCCTTGGCTTGAATAAATACTTAAACACAAAATAACAAAGTAGAGCCTCCAGCTCCTAAGTCCTCCCAAGCTACGTCCTTAGAGGAAACATATCACCAGTACCTGAAAATGGTTTCCCAAGTAGGGTGAGCCAAAGCCTAGTAGAGAAAGACTAACACAATATATGAGGTTTAACTAAGATATAAGTGCCAGATAAAAGTTCCACACTCGTAACAATTATTTATTATGAAAATTATATATGTATTTGTTACAACAAAAATATCAATTGCAAGAACTTAACAAATTTTTTTTTTAGATGAAAAATAACATAAAATAAACAAATTAATTTAAAGATGTAAAAAAAATATCAACCTATATTTTCGTATATATATACCCATACATCTCATAAAAAATAAAAAATAAAAAAAAAAAAAAATTCTTACTGCAACAATTTATCTATATATTGCAACTAAAACAAATCTAGAAAAAAAAATTGAAAAATTAGAGATGAGAAGTTCGGAGACCTAACGACCTTATCAACACACAATGTTCACCAAAATCTCAAACTAAAAACAAAATGCCTAAATAGTAACTCATGACAAGTAATGGGACTATGAATTTCTACATAAGCTGTGAACTAACCAAAAGAAATGGTCCTCCCTTTCGAATTCTTACCAAAACAAGTTGTGAGGCAAGTCAATCTCTCTCTAGCATACACAAACATTACTAAGGGTTTGATTGCGAAGTAAATAGACATTACTGTGCACTCATTGAGAAATATGTTCAGATTGTCCTATAGCTTTAGGGTTGCTAGTTTCCAAATTCAACTCTTGATTTTGGATTATTAGGTATTCAAAACGTGAGAATCAAGGATGCAGTAACAAACATAACCTTATGAGGTGCCTACTTCAAGCAAGCAGCAATGCCTATGTAGCTATTCCAGATACCAACTATGCATTGAGGATAGAGTAGTGTATAGTTATCCAAATAATTATTCCCATGTTCAAACAACTCTTTTCATTATCCACCATGTATAGTTATGCAATTTTTAAAATTATCTGCAGAAGCTAGCAGTGTTTTTGGGTGATGAGGCATGTATAGATACAAATAGTTTGAGAATGAAGTACCTTCATAAACTTACCCAAATTAAACCTGTTTGAATTTTTAAATATTCAATTAATTGGTTGTTGTAGGAGAGGGTTCGAGAAAGGTATTGGAAAGTTCGAAGATCTTCAAAGATCCTTGAAGAACAACTTCGAATTCTCTAGAATATGATGAGAGGCTTAGATTCTTCAATAATCTCAACTTAGGAACACAACAATAAAGGAGATGATGGAGATAAGAGATTGGGTGAAGAAGAAGGCAAAATGGCTAGAGAATAGAATAATGGCAAGGCTCTCCCATTGATCTCCCACTTTCACTCTCAAGGTTGATAATGGAGAAGGGAAATTAGTTCTTTCCCAAGAGTTGAAAATCTCCAAAATCCATGCCTTGTAAAGCTATGGGTGGGTGCTATTTATAGGCACCTCATGATGTAGGATGGAGCCCATGTGCAAGGCACATGGGGGATATTCTCTCTAACCATTTTGTCCGAGGAGGTGACCTCTCCGAGGAGGTGACTTCTCCGAGGATGAGAAAACCCCGAAGAGGAGATCACTCCCTCGGCGAACCCTTCTAAATTAATAGATCAAATGGTCTAATACCGGTAAAAACAACAGTCATGGAAGATAGCCACATTTTTAAGAAGATAGATAGGCTAACCGGAGGAAATCATCGTTATGTATGCCAACTTTACTTTTTCAATTTTTTTATTCAGTCTCTGTTTATATTTACATTTCTCTCTCCTCTTTTTGTTCTTATTGTGCTTGCTCTCTACTCTACGGTTCCTCCATCTTCCCTCATTTTTCTCCTCTCATCATCATTTGCTGAAAGAGTTGTTCTGCATTCCAAGCTTCATCAGCTGCTGATACGATTTATCCAACATCTGACGATGGCTCCTGGTCCTTATCAACATTGACCGTTATCAAGTTTCTTCACAACAGACATTAAAAAGAAATATAAAAACACAAGATAATAATTACATGGACATATATATTTTTCACAATTTTTATTTATTTTTTATTTTTTTATATGTTGTGATGTTTTTGGGCCAAACCCTCCATTGAAAGGGGAAAAATAGTTTGTAAATCGCAATGTTTATTTAACACAGCACATACAATAAAATTCATATGAAAGTTAAGGTTTTTGTTCTCCATCCTAAAAAGACACTAGTCTATTGTAATTTCTCCAGTTTTGTTTATGGATTTTGTAAATTTTTTTTGTTGCTATTCTATGACTATTGAAGGAAGAGGAGGATTGCAGCAATCTATAAACCAATAGTAATGCTTTTGGCTGGAAAAAGCAAAAAAATAAATAAAATTTGATAATAAAGAGAATGTGACTCAAGATAACCCTCATTTATGTAGACACACCACACCATTTGAAAAAGTAAATTCTTTAAGTCTTAATTATACACACTTCATTGATATAACTGCATGGTGACAATGAATTTTTAAGGGCACAATGTGTTTAAACTTTGCCATTAGTGCAATTGGTTAATATCTGTTGTTAGGGCTGAGCAACGAATCCGTGAAATCCGTAATCCGATCCACTCCAGTCCAATCCAGTAGGTTTGGATTGATTTTTTGAATCCGTGGTTCGGTTCCGAATTGAAAAATTAAAAATCCGTAGTTCACTGATTGGTTCCAGATTGAACCCCATAGTTCCAGATTGAACCCCACAGTTCCGGATTGGAACCGATCCGGACCGTATACAAATAGTCTATATTTTTATTATATACTCTCCTGCATAATATCTTCTCTTATTTCATATAAAACTTAAATCCAAACCTAAACTTGCATAGTATCTTCTTTTATTATTTTTGTTTGCTAGTTTTTAGTGTTAATTTGTAATGGTCTACATACTTATGGTGGAATTAGTTTCCTTATGGTTATTTAAATTCTAGAATAGTTTGTCACTATTATGAAAAGACATGTTGCTATTATGAGACTAATACGGTGCTATATTTATATTTTTATGAAATTAAAGTGTTATATATATATATATATATTTGATATTTAATTATGTAAATCTGTGGTCCTAAACCGATCCAATCCGTGTTTAGATGGATTGGTTCGGATTGGTTCAACGATTTAAATGGATTGGATTGGTTCCAATTTTTCAAGAACCGTAGATAACGGATTGGTTTTGGTTTTACTCCAATCCGGTCCAATCCGGACCATGCTCACCCCTACTACTTATGAATGTTTTGCCGTCACAAAAGAAAGGGGAAAAAAAAAAAACCTACAATGTTTTAGCAACCATCTTGTTACCATCGCACCAAAGAAACAAAAAAAACAAAATGCCTACAATGTTTTATCAACCTATGTTCTGATACATAATATACATTAAATGTAAAGAGGTGTTTGTAAAAATCCTAGCATTCATGCATTATTTTCCATCTCTTTCCTTAATAAAATTCTTTTTCTTTAGAAAAAAAAAAGTTTGCATACAAAATATAAACATCCATACAAGCAAAACAAATATCCATCAACCATCCCTAAAATATATATACAAAGTACTAATAGATTCAAGTCCTCAAAAAAAATAAAAAATAAAATAAAATAAAAAATAAAAGAACAATCTTAGTTTAGCTCCCAATATCATTACACCATCATATCAACTATTCCCTCAGCAATACCTGCAAAAACAAATTATATTATGATTAAGGTTTGTTGAGTTGAAATACAACCAAAGGCCATCGTTATCTTACTCAAAACCTAATAACCATTCAAATTTTGAAGTCGTAAAAAACAATGAGAGAGTATCCATGGGAACAATTGTTAAGGGTCATATTTAAATAACACTATAGCATGGAAAGAGTAGAAACATCACTTTCTTTTGGACAATGGAATTCCACATTGAATTCACTAATTCCATCATTTATTGGTTCCACAGCATCACCACTCATCATCCTATAACACAATAACACAGCAAATTAGTCATAACATTAAAAAAAGGTCAGGATGCACAAATTTGATTTTATTTGATATTGCAGTAGAAAAAACTAGAAAAAGAAACATCCAAATTTGCAATAGGCAAACTGAAAAGCCGAAGAGTATATGAAGCCAATATACTTTTCTTTTCTTTTTTTTTTTTTTTTTTGATATCCGAATGTTTGGGCCAGCTTTCGCGCACCTCGACTAATCTCGGGGCCCTGAAGTTAATGACCGGGCAAACCTCCAGTGGCCCTAAGGTGTGACTCCAACTTGAAACTTGTAGATTTTATCCTCCAAGCTTTACCATTATGAAGCCAATATACTACTAGCTATAACTATAGAATTCTGGATATATGAAACAAAGATGTACATAGGATTTTTGTTTTGTATATGAAGCGAAAGACTTTTGTTACATTTATTTATAACTATAGTAGGCTGACCATTTGTTCAATGGTTAAAACTTACCCTAATAACCTTGAGGTTATGGGTTCAAGTCTTGAGACTACCATTTTGTGCATTATGCCAAAGGTTAGGTGTGCATTCAATCTTTCCCTTCCCAAATATATATTAATGCGTACTAATTGGGCATTATTTTTTTATTTATAACTATAGCATAAATTATGTCAGCAAAGTAGAAAAATAAAAAGAAACAAGCCCGCAAAAGTAGCGTATTACTCAAAAACCTTACAATTTCATGACATCCATATCTCTCCTCTTGCTTGGCATGATGAATATAAGTGCACTTATTTAGATAAGTGCACTTATTTGGGTCACATCACCTCTATACTTTTCTACACATCTTTTTGTAAAAAATTTAAAAGTATATTTATTTAGATCATCCCAGATAACAAAAAATTTATGTATTTACCACCCTGCCAAATTCAGAACAAAAGAAAACAGATGTAAGCACATGAAAGTTCAATTTCCAATAGGTAGGTCCATAAAAAATAACAAATAAATAAATAAAAAATTCAAATTCAAACATATAATAACGAAAAAAGTAAATAAATTAGAGAAAGTGAACTACTAGAATGTGCTATGGCAAGATCCAAATATGGTATGAATATGGTATGCAGCAACTTGAGAGAAGTAATCAACATTTATATCACAAATTGATATGTAGAAACTTTTGAAAGAAATCAGCATAAATATTACAAATCAGTATGCAGTAACTTCAGAGAAGAAATCAACATAAATATCACTAATCTTATAAGTCGTAGAATGCTTGACACCAAAAGGGCCCATCTATGGCAGGATATAGCTCTGAAATTCACTTCTAGAAAAGCCTTCATCATCCCCAACTTCGTTTCCTAGTGCCTAGATTGAGACCATTACCCATTTATATAAATATGGTCCTTGAAATAACTCATATAACCAATTATCATACAAGTCCAAAAATGAATATGCACTAAAAATATATCATTTTTCTTATAAAATATTTTTTGTGAATTGATTCATATCTGTCTTGCAAGTGAAAACAATTATTAGTGTCTCCACTGAAAATTCTTAGCATATAAATTCTCTGCAAGAGTTTCGCTCCTAATAGAAGAATTAATCATCAGTACCAATTCAAATTTTAGAACTACTTTCAAAATAAAAGAATTCAAGTTTTGGGAACCTATTCTATCATTCAATTAACAAACATATCTCAATCCTTTAGAGCCAACTGTTAGTGATAATTCTCTTTCCTGTCTAATTCCACTGGAACTAGGAAACCTTAGGAATTTGCAATATATAGACTTTGGGAATACTCTCTTGAATGGAAGCATACCTGGCATATACAACTACACTACTTTGTCAGAACTCAGCCTCATCCTTAACAATCTCACTGGTAAAATCCAGTCAAACATCGGTGATTTAGTTAATCTTCACCGTTCTGCCACCAGCGACCAAATTCCCATCCACCCACCTTCTCTCTCTCTCTCATTGTAAAAGAAACTAAACTATTCGAGCTCAACTCATGTTCAGCTCGTTAATTTTTCAAGTCAAGCTTGAACAAGATACTACTTGGCTCAATAATAATAATAACACCAAACTATTTGAGCTCAGCTCATTATGGTTCGATTAAAGTTCAATTGCAATCGACTCGGGAAAAAAAAACTCAAGGTTGAGACAAACAAACAGATAGATAATAAAAAAATCAAGGTTGAAGCACGTTTACAGCCATATCTCTTGCTCCTCAAACAGAGGAGCAAAAGAAATCATAAACCAAGAAAACAGTGCCTTAAATCATTAATGAATGTATCCTCACATCTTGCAACCAGAATCCAAAACAAATAAACAAATACAGGCTCATGAGACAAACAAACAAATATATAGATAAAGGTGTTTTTATATTCTCATGTATGGAGAGAGAGAGAGAGACCATCAAGTAGTAAAATGAAGCAAACACTAAACTATTAACCTTTTCAAGTTAAGACTACTACAACTTTTTGTATCCACGGTTAAATAGAAGACCATAATTAATTACCTGTACATAGGAAGTCTCAGGTAGCAAACTTGTCTCGCAAAAAAATAAAAATAAATAAAGTGTTGCAATGCATAAGGAAAAAATCCCAGAAATGGTTCCTGCCAAATAAGTGGAGAAGGGACATTTCTCTGCAACTACTCCTATATTTCCACAGAATATTACACATTTAACCACCAAGTTGGTCATCTAAATTTAAAAAATAAAAAATAAAAATCCAAACTGATAAACATCACACATGGTTCTACAAAATATGTCAAAGATAAACAACAAATAATCTTGTCCTACCATACTTGTTGCTTGCATTTAAGGCATGTAACATTAACTTATGCAATCCTAAAAAATTTACAAATAAAATTTTAATCATCAAATGTTAGTTTCAAGAAGCAAGTATTGTATTATTGATCAACATAATACTTCAAAAATGTGTGTGGGTGTGTGTGTGTGCGCGCGCGTGAGAGAGAGAGAGAGTATACATACACATGTCAAAAATTAAAATGCATTAAAAATTAAAAAACATGTTATTTCTATTTTCGATGAGAAGAGAGCTATTTTCCGCACTTCTTAATTCAAGAAATGAACTTCCACGAAATATCTCATTTATATCCCCTACAAAAAAATATTTACTAAAATCTCAAAAGAAAAAAAAAACGAAAAATGCCAATTCAAAAACAATCAAAGAGCAATATCTCTAACTAAGCAACATTATACACCACTATAAACAGACTATACAGTACAATTGCACATATATGTTTCATCAAACTGCATTGAAATGTACCTCTCTACTTGTTCCTCAACAATAACCTTGTCCGCAAAATGTTTGAACTGCAACAATATTATACAAATAACCATAAACAACAGAGCGAGCAACAAACTTGTCATTAGAATGCTTTGCTACTAAATTGATCTCCATAGAGCATTTTTCTATCATTTTAACTTGTTTTCACTCCAATTCAATTTGCAATGTTGAATATAACAAATTCTTCTCAATAACAATCCAATACCTCAAATTCACTAAATGCTTGTAGTCCTATGAAGCACAGGTACGGGTATGAGTACTGGTACTAGTACAGGTACGATATAGGTACGTCGATACGGTAAAATCCAAAAAAAGTAGGGTACGGGTATGGCTTGGTACGTTTGTAAAAAAATATTTGTTTTTAATTTAGAGTAATGCGAAAATTAATTAAATAGTTTAATTTGTTAAGATCTAACCTATAATTAACATTTAATGCCAAAAGTAAAGATATAAATCAAAATTAAATGTCAATATAGCGATCTCGATTTTCCTTTCTTTTGTATATCGTATTCCGGACTTGGTTCCGTGGTTGCGTTGTTGTTGTCTCATTCTCATTTCTTTCCCTTACTCTTTGTATTTGAGTCTTGGGTTGTGTTGGGCAGGTTTGGAACAGGTGGGTTATGCTTTGAATCCATTGGTTGATGTCCAGAATTTGCCCTTCACGCTCGAGCAGGGCTTTTGACGCTCAAGCGGCCCTTCGTTGTTGCTTCTCCGCTCGAGCGGGCGTTTTGAAGCTCGAGCGTGAATTTCCATCTCCCAGTATTTTTGCCTGCAGGTCTTCGTACGCTCGAGCGGGAGTTTTGACGCTCGAACGTGACCCTTTGATTTTGTTCCTCCGCTCGAGCGGGGAGTTTAAAGCTCGAGCGGGGACCATCGCCTGCAGAACTTCTGGAAGTGCGCATTTGGCGCTCGAGCGGCGCTTTTCACGCTCGAGCGTGAGTCTGTGTCTTACGCTCGAACGGGGAGATTTCTATATCACTTTGGGATCTCACCTTTTTGGATCACTTTTTTAATTTTCTTTCTCTCTTACTTTCCCAAACCCAGATTTGAGAGCCTCTCTCTCTAGGTTTCAACTTCTCTCTTCAATATCACCTAGATCTATTGATCTTCTACCTTGGGTCCTTTACAAAAAGTGTTGAGTTTGTTGAGGGTTATCTTTTGATCCGAGAATTTCTTGATTTGGAGCACTTCGGATTTCTTCATCTCCTACCTTTGGGCTCCGAATTTGAGGTAGGGATTCCTACTCACTTTTATGAGCTTTAACCTAGATGTTGAGCATTTGTTTAAATGGTGTGATTTGGGGAAGTTAGGGTTTTGAGAGGTGTTATGTTTAAAAAGAGGGGCTTTGTGATCTAAATCCATAAACATGTAATTTGGGTCTTAAATAGAGACTATTGATGTTGTTGATCATATATGGACCTTTGGGTCAATTTGAAAAAAAAAGAAGAAAATGCCATGTTGGGTATATTTGGGTCATTAGTGTAATTAATGACATTTATTGTGGAAATATGAAATTGAGATGAGGATAATGAAATTGGCTCATTGTGAGTTAGAATGGTGGTGTTGGATTTAATAATCACCCACTTTGAGAATTATTGACAATCTATCTATTAATGCATTTATTATCTGTTTAGAAATAATTGCTTTGGGCTACCGGTGGAGGGTAGTCTCGATTGTTGTAGACAATGCATGATGATTAGGCAAACTAAAACTAGTCAATTGAGTATGCCATTGAGTATGGCGATTGGTATAATACATTTAAATTGTGTATTAATTGATTGATCATGTATATGATAATTACTTATATACATTGTGTTGTGTGGGAGGAGATAGGGGATGTACTTCACGGTTTAGGGGAAGATAAGGGATGGACCTCTAAACCGGATATTGTTTGGGAGGAGATAGGGGATGGCCTCCATTGATACAACACTAAAATGTGTATCATTATGAAATATGGAAGTGTTTTGATGTGTTATTGACACAGCACCAACATGTGTATCCATTATGAAGTATGAAATGTTTGATATGAGCTATTATCTCACTTGAAACGGAAATATTGTTAATATGAGACGTGATCTCATTTAAATTGTGTGGCCAAGTTCTGAGCCATGGATGTGGATTGAGAATTGAATAAGAAATGGAAAATGGAATAACTCATGAACGTCGTAGTCATGGAATTGAAATGTGCTATAAGTTGATGTAAATGAATTAAACATTTATCGAATGCTAATATTTTAGTTATTGTTCATACTATGTTTAGCATATCTCTACTGGACGTTGGCTCACCTTATATGAGACATCATTTTCAGGTTCAAGTACTATGCCGCCCCCGAGGTCTTAGCTTGGAGGGTTGTGGGAGTTGAAGACTCTTTTGTCTATTTTTGTTGTATTACATGTATATCAAGCCAAGGGCTTATTATCTGTTTTGAGTTAGTACTCACTCCTTTTGTAACCAAGTGTTGACTTGGAAAGTTGTATGCCTATAGGGCATTTACTTTTGTTGTCAACATGTAATACATTTTGTAATGAATACTCTGATGAAATCTAATTATATTTCATTCTTTTGTGTTTAAGCATATAGCGACCCCGGTCTTTTCCCATTTGATTGTTGTGTCCGGACTTAGGTTCCGTAGATTCTGTCATTGTATAATTGTTGTTGTTGTCCCTTATTTTCTCATTTGGAATTATAGGATGTGTTGGGCAGGTTTGTTTCAGGTTGGTTGGGTTTAGAAACCAAGTGTTGCTGTCCAGGTTTTTGGTTTTTCGCTCGAGCGAGGCGTTGGTCGCTCGAGCGAGCTGTTGTTTTTGGTTCTTCGCTCGAGCTGGGGTTTGGTCGCTTGAGCGAGAGATTGCGTCCAGTATGGACCTGTAGCTTTGCATTCTTGGCTCGAGCGAGCTTTTCTTCGCTCGAGCGAGTTAGTTCGTTCTTCGCTCGAGCGACAGTTCCTTCGCTCGAGCGTGTGTCTGGTTACAGACCTGAGGGTTTGAGTTCTTCGCTCGATCGAGTTTTCTTTCGCTCGAGCGAGCTTTTGGTTGTTGGCTCGAGCAAGGCTTCCTTGGCTCGAGCATAGCTTTTCTGTGTCTGGTCGCTCGAGCGACCAAGTCTTCGCTCGAGCGAGCGTGTCCAGTTTAATTAGACAGCAGCGGGTTTTTAATCAGTTTTCATCATCTTTTTAGATTCCAAACCCAAAGGTCCGACTTCTCTCTCACCCTACTCACCTTCTCTCTTAGATTTGATCCACTTAGGGTGTGTTTCTACCCTAGATCCTTCATTAAAAAGAGTGTGTGAGTCAAGGACTTTCATTTAATCTGAACGTTTGGCGATTTGGAGCACATTGGTATTTGGGCACTCATCTCTGTCTTCACCATTTGGGTTGTTTTCTTCGAGGTAGGGATTTCCTACTCCATTCTATAAGTTTTGTTCTAAGTTTTGGTATTTTGATATGTTGGGGATACTTTGGTAATTTTGGGAAAAACCCTAGTTGTATTAATAAGTTAATTTGTATAATTAATTAAAGGAAATTGGGGAAATATGGTTAAATTCATGGAATTGAGGAATTCATTGATTAAGAGGTGTAGTTGGATAATTTAAATCACTCACCCATTGAATTGTTGATATATTTATTTTCAGTCTAGAAATAACTGTTTTGGGCTATCGGTGGAGGATAGTCGTGATTGTTGTAGACATTGCATGTGGATTAGGAATAACTGAAACTAATCACATTGGTTAAGTCATTAATTTTGACTATTGCATTGATACAGAAAATACGTGTATTGGTTGAGCATTGCATTTGCAT